AATCCTAATCAGTGTCCTTGTTATGTTCATTAAATTGAATTGTACAGATTGCGCTCTTTCCAATTAGTCTCCTGTCAAACGCCTTGCTGAAATATAGGTTTACTGTGTCCGTGGAGAGAATGGATTATTGTATGGGGTCAAAACTTTGCTCAGCCAAGCTCAAAATGTGTTTTATGATATTACAATTCCCAGTGGAGCTCAGAGCGTGTTCCAGCTACATTACCCACCAGAGCTCAGTTCTATTGAGGAGGGTTAGAAAACATAAACCTTTTTTAAATTTCCACAGCCTTTCTTAGAATGACACACAGACCTTTCAAAGGCCACAGAAATCCCCATTAGAACTAAGGGTAAACCAAGTGCACCTTCTCAGTTTTGCTCAAACAACATGCAAAGATGTTTAACCAGGGGTCTGTTATTTTTAAAAATATTTTGATAATTTTATATATAATTTTATATATATATATTTATATATAATTGGTTTTCTTTATATTCTGATGCATTTTATGCATTTTAAAACATTATTCCTAGAAGGGATCCAATGGTGTGACCATTTAGAAACTACTGCCTTTCCTTATCGAGTATAAGAGGGCCTACTAGAACTTAGAAGGTGTTGCAAAATCTCATTATTTCTAAATGCTCACCTGCCAACACTTGCTTGTTAAGACCTGCTGGTGGACTTAACCACTGATTGGTTATAACTTTCATTTTGTGTGTTTATTTGGAAAATAATGTAATCACTACAACTTTAACTCTATTACACAACAGATGAAACATGTATGTACAGTTTTTCAAAATTTTCTTCTCTTCTCTTCTTCTCACCCTGGAAGATCCCTCAATTCCTGTGACTCCCCTCTTCTCCTCTCTCTTTCTCCCTCTCTCTCTGTCTTTCTGTCACTTAACCCTGTTTGCCTCAGTTTCTTCATCTGTAAAATGACCTGTAGAAAGAAATGGTGAACCACTTCAGTATCTTTGCCAAGAAAACCCCAAATGGAGTCACAAAGAGTCAGACACAACTGAAATGACTGAACAACAATTTTGGGGTACATACATATACATGTACATATATATAAATGTACGTATATGTGTATGTGTATGTGTATATATGTATGTGTATATAGGTATGTGTGTGCACATATACACACATACATATACATGTACAGGTGCATATACAGACACACACATACTTACGGCTTCAGCAAACCTTGTTTCTTTACTGAATCCTCCAATTACCCAAACACAATGTTCCTGCCAGGCCCCAAGTGTACTAGCCTGGGTTCTCTTATAGTCCATCTTTATCTCCAGCGTGTCCAGAGAACTCTATATTTTCTTCATTGTACCAATTATTAATGTTTTGATGGTTCCTCAGTTTACTACCTTTGATCACTGAGGGGTACTCACCTTTGTCCTGGGTGCCCAGTGTGCTAGCCTGTCCTCAAAATCACAGAACTGTAGAATTTCAAACTTCAGATGCCATCTGATGCAAGCCTGACTTGATGCATGAATCCACAACATCCCCAAGGGCATCTTCTTTAAGCACTACTAAGGACTTTTTCATACTTTTCTTTCTCAAACACATTCATTTATAATGCCCTATTGCTTTAGCCCTGGAAGACTGGACAGTGTATCTTTGGCATAATCACAGCACCTCCTTGTACCTTTGCCTGGTTTACTAATCTGTCTTCAGTGCCTCTGCAGGATCAAAACCTTTGCCCTCAGTGTATCTCTCTCTAGTGTACGTGGCTGTGTCTTTGGCCAATTCATCTGTCTTCAGAGTATCCCCCTCCACTGTGTTCTCCATGTACTCCAGTGCTCATTGGGGACATAGGGTGCCTATGTTCTCTCTACACCTTTTTGGGTGGAAATGATGCCCTTAATATCCATGCCCACTCTTGTGTGCAACTATTTTCAGTGACGACCAACACGTCATCAAGGTCAGCTACCACACTCATGGTAAATCCTTCAACTTGAAAAGGCTACAAGCCAACACCAAAGTGGAGGGAGTGTTGGTGCACGATTTTCTGTTTGCAGATGATTGTGCACTCAATTCAGCCTCTGAAGCTGAGATGCAACAAAGTATGAATGTGGCTTGTGCTAATTTTGGCCTAATGATGAACACCAAGAAAACACAGGTGCTCCATCAACCACTAACCACACCATCCGTATGTGGAACCATCAGTTAGAGCAAATGAAGAAGTTTTGAATGGTTCACTTTTTTGTAGTGTACTTTCCAGGGATGTACCCATTGATAATGCGGTTGACACACACAATGCCAGAGCTAGGTCAGTGTTTGGGAGGCTCTGAAGTGAAGTGTGGGAGAGAAGAGGTATTAAACTGACTACCAGACTGAAAGTCTACAAAGCTGTTGTGCTGACCTCATTGTTGTATGCCTGTGAAACATGAACAGTATAGTAGCACCATGCCAGGAAACTGAATTTCTTCTATTTGAATTGTCTCAGGAAGATTTTGAAGATCACCTGGCAGGATAAGGTAACAGGCACTGAGGTCATTTCTCAAACTAAACTGCCAAGCATTCAAACTCTACTGCAGAAAGCACAACTCCAACGGGCTGGCCATGTTGTTCGAATGCCACATTTACACTTGCCGAAAAGACTATTTTATGGAGAACTCACACAGGACAAGTGCTCACGTGCTGGTCAGAAGAAGCAATACAAGGACCCTCTCAAGGTCTCTTGAGATTGTATGACATGGAAGACACTGGCACAGTTCAGCATGGCGTGCCCTCATCATACCCTCTATGAGCAAAGCAGAATCAAAACAGCTCAAAAGAAACTCAAGATGCGCAAATCGAGAGAATCCACCCCAAATGTTCACATGGACTGTTTGTGCCCGACCTGCGGTAGAACATTCTGAGCTGGAATTGGTCTGAACATCCACAGCCGGACACACTGTGACTTGACGAACATAGTGATGTCATTTTGGTCCTCTTCAGAACCAAGGACAATAACCAAACCAAATCATACCCACAAAGTATCCCACATTCAATTAAGTTCTAGATGCTGGGGGCACAAAGACACAGAAGATTCCATTCTACTGGGAGGATGCCCATCTACTGAAGCAGATACACAGTAATGCTGTAGGAAGGAGATAACACCAATACCTGGAGGAGAGGGGCAGGAGGGAAAGAGGAAGGTCTGGTTAGGGGATGACATGAGCTGAAAAGGAAAGGAAGTAGGGAATGCAAAAGGAAGAAGGAGGGACGTAGAGCTTTCTGGGTGTGAGGGAGAGCCTGGGTAAAAGCATGAAGAGGAAAAGGAACATCGTGTGCAGGACAGTTTGGCTGGAATGCAGAGTACCTGAGGGTGAATGATGTGAAACAAGCCTGCAAAGTTAGATTGGAGCCAGATTAGGAGGGCCTTCACTGCCCACCTAGAGCTAATGGGGAACTGCTGAACCTTAAGGCCCTGGGGAGCTATGTGGTCAGATCTTGAAGTTAGGAAGCACAATTCTGCAACTGAGTGGACAGTGGATTGGTATGAGAAGAGGCCAGAAAACAAGGAGACAAATTAGGAGGCTACTGGAATAGTCCAGTCAAGAGGTAATAAAAGCCTGAACCAGGGGGTTACTATGTAAGTCAAGAAAAGGACAAAACTTGTCTAGACGGCTTCTGTCGGGGAGGGGAAGAGTGAAGGTGTTAAGAATAACTCCAAGACTGCAAACCCAGGTAACCTGAAGGATGATGGTGCCCTTGACAGACGGAAGTCAGGGGGAAGGGATGGGTTTAGAGAAGAGCTCTTAATTTGGGGTCTGTGCACTTTTTCTTTTAATAGTCTGATAATGGAGACAACTAGGTGACGCAGTGGATAGAGCACCAGCTTTGCAGTCAGGAGGACCTGAGCTCAAATCCAGCCTCAGACACTTGACACTTACCTGTGTGACCCTGGGCAAGTCACTTAACCTTGATTGCCTTGGGCCCACCCCCCCCAAAAAAATTCTGATGACTTCTTCACTACAATTTGGTTTCCTTTATAATCCTGGGTATTTTATTTTATGCACTTAAAAATAATTATTCTGATAAGGGATCCTATAAGCTCCACCAGGCTGCCAAAAGGGCACATGATACAAAGAGCTTAAGCTCCCTTGGGTACAAGGAGTTTATCCTCCCAGAGCTGGTTCAATGAGTACACCCACTTTAGTTTAACAGCATCTGTTAACTTCCACCCTTCCCGGTTCTCACTGTGTTCGCATCTGTCCCTCTCACTGTTTGCACCGCTCTTAGTTATGTCCTAGTGTCCTAGCCTAGGCCTACACGCCACCATCCTTGTCCTCACTTGCCCCTCTGTGGAGTCACCTTAGGCAATAGCAAACCATGATCTCAATGGACTCCCACATGCCTGTGTTCTCACCGTATTGTCCTGCATCTTCAGCATGTCCCATGCACGCGTGTGTTGTTGGTAAATGCCTGGGCCTCTGTTCATGGGGTGCTCTCAGTGTACCCTCTTAAGTACCTGTGCTTCTGCCTCACTGTGCCCTCATATTTTCTCTCCTGCACCTTCAATGGCTTTTTGCAGAGTCACTTCTCCAGACTCAGGATAATCTTCCCCTTGGGAGATCTCCTCATGATCAATCATCCCCCTCTGGCCTCCTTGTACCCACTGACCATACCTTCCCGCCTTTCCTCAAAGAGCCCATAGGATGCCTCACTACCAGCCCTTCTGTTAAGCTTCTCAATGTTCCCATTCTGTGGCCCTCATCTGGACCCAAATCGTGCCCCACTTCTGCTGCAGTGCTCAGAGCACGAGCCAACAACCTCCAAAGTAGCATCAAAGCCACCGGGAGAGTCTAAATTGGCCACTAGGAGGTGTCACTTCTTCAGCTCTACCCTGGAGGACGCAGCTGCCAAAGAGATCTCACATTCTCTGGTAGAACTGAGTTTGCTGACCTCAACAAGCAAGAATTCAAAGGGCAATTTCTTACTCCAACACAAGAACTTAATTGACTACTGAGACTAAAGATCATTTAATACACAAAACATCATTTAGTTCACATGTAATACAAAAACATTTATTTTCTTTGTACAACCAAACTCTCTAAATTTCAGAAATACTGTATGAAATTTATACAATGAAACCTATTAAGACTCTTGAAAACATTGAGGTTTATCCTGCGCCATTTGGAGGACCTGAAAAAGCTGGTCTCTTGAATTCATAAATTACAGCAGAATATGACATTATTAATGTACATTTTAAACACATATACATGTCAGTGTATACAATACATTTACATGGCCAGTCACACCCTTTGGGAAGCTTGCCAACACTCACGGAGACCAAAGGTATTGTTAGAGGAATGGGAACAAACCTGTGCCCAGCTCACTCTGAAAAAACTTGTGTGGTTCAGCACGTGTTTATTCTCACTCCCATGGCAGTGTCTTTGGTGCCAGGGAGCATGTTAACAAGATCTATATCTCTTTGCCAACACAAATTGGCTCAATTTCCTGGAAAATAATCTGAAGTCAGGAAAAATTAGAACAGTAAAACGCCAATGTGAAAAAGTCGTGGCTTCACCACCATGGAGCACATTCACTCCGGTCAAATCCCTCATCTGCGGGGAGCTGAGTCACCCACAGCCGGTACTCAGAGGCCTGAAGATCCCATTCTCAAAGGGAAAGTCAGTTGATGAAGGCCGTTGGAAGGTTCTTGTTCCCAAGCCCCCTTGTGTTCTTCTCCAGCTCCATAAGGCTCCCCTTGACCTGTATTTCTGAATACAGGTAAAGTATAATGTCTGAAGGAGAGGACAGGTATCATAATCAGGGGGAAAAAAAACCTAGCATGACAGAGCTTTGAAGCATCAAAACGATGGCTCACAGTGCTCCCAAATAGCTGTACTTGGTAAATATTTGGTACAGTATACATTTTATAAAAAGCCAATGAGCTTCAGATCATTTAACCCAGGTTAAAATGAATGAAAACCAAATCCCTGTACACACAACCCTAGAGTTGATTCTGGTCACTGTAGGATACATGAGAACAATCAGTATCTTCATGGGCTTTGGGACAGTCAGAGGCCATCACTACTTCAGCCAACTCCAATCAAGACTCTAAAGCCAGACATGAAAAAGAACAAAAAAGGAAGAAAAGATGAATGAGGTCAGAAACATCTTTTTCTTTGCACTACAACAGCTTTCAGAAGAATTTGATAATCATCTCCAGCAACTTGCAAATGAAAAGAGGAAATGCAAATAACTAAAACAGAAAGTATTTAGTGGCGAAATTAACTGGAGGCTCAAATGTAGCAAAGCTTAGGCAGTTAGGTTTTCCACTGGGCTTTCCAAGTTTTATCATCACAGTATTGTTCACACTAACCTAATATTTGAATACTCTTAATTTGTTAACGTCTATGAACAACAAACATAATCATGCTAATTCAGCATACGGGCAACAACTGTTTTTCAAGTCACAAGCCTCCCTCCCAAACATAAATGTGAACTGCTGTGTTAGGAGATATAATCTACCCACCAGAAAGGCCAAAATGAACAAAGAAAAGCCAGACAGATGCAAGTAAATGATCCTCCCAGTAATTCCAGGAAAAATACTCCTGTAAAGAATGCCTGAGAGTCCCATGTACCAGACTATGGAGAGCTGAGCTACATAAAGCTCCTCTCTCAGCTCTCTCCACGACACTGGGCATTTTAAAACAGGCTGCTCTAGCCCAGGTGGGGCAAGGAAGAGAAAGCATGAAGACTTACCATTAGACTCTTACCCTGTTCCTCTGTTGCCTCGCGAATAACAGTACTCAAACAGCCAAGATAATTCAGATTTTCCTCTACTATTTGTGTAAAAGTTTCTCTGTAGAATGAAACAGAAAATAATTTAAACTTAGGCTAAGGAACATGTTTTCTTCTATTGTCCTGTCTTTGATATCAAATTCCAGACCAGATGTGTGTCAACCAGGTGTCTTTCGTTTTTCCATAACTTTACGAGGAGCCTCGCAAATCAGTAAAAAGATGGACAGTTGTCCCCTGACATTCGCAGGAGTCAGGAGGGCAGAACCGCTTCAAATGTGAAAAACTGCAAATAACTCTAGGCCCCACCCCAAACCTTTATTTTAAATAATTTCAATTTAACACCCACAAGAAGTAAAACAACACAATGCACCCATAAAAAAGTGGCAATTTCTACACGAGAGACTGGTATCTCACACACTATGCAGTCTTTGCAGCTGAATGTGTAGCTGCAGCAATTGTTTCAGATTTCCTTCCACAAAAAGTGCAAGATACAACGATCACTGTGAGAGAAAGTCACGTGACTGAGTCTGGAGGGTAGAAAGACTAAGAGGAGACGCTCCCAGAGCACCTAGCCTGCAGTTCTTTGGTGCACTGAAACTTTTTACAAAATTTAACTTTTTATAATAAATTTACATATGTATATTTATGGTAGTAAATGATAAAAATGGATTAATGATATGCAGCATTTATGACTAATTTTTTTTAGTTTTCTTTACATATGCATGTCATCTGCCATATTCTGCAGTTATGCTGCAAATCTCCAAAAATTCTCGTTTAATTATTAACCAACTTGTGAATAACCAAAGCTGTGAATGTGAAATCCATGAATGTCAAGGGATGACTATGTAAGCAGGATTCCTGCCCATACCCACTGCCAAAAGGATCAGAACAGATCCTGAGAATAGCTGCTGCATGTATGCTGAGTTAACATGACTGCATTTGTGTTCATGGATGTTAGTTAACAAGTTAGGACCCTCTCTTGCCTGAGATGTTGAAGAGGAAGGTGACCCTTTCCTACCTTACTGGACCTGAAGGAAAAAATATTAAACTAATACATGAAATAAAAATGTGGGAAATAAGGAGAAACATCCCAGCCAACAGAATGCAAAGGGGAAACAATTCTTAGTCTGCAAAGGTACCAGTTCCTTTCCCTAAATTTGAAAAATGAAATGACCTGACTACACTCTTCCATACACACAATGAGCCACAGGCAGACTCTGGTTCTTCTCCCATCTCCCTCTGCCACTTACATTCCCTTCTATTCAAAGATCGCAGACCAAAGCCTGAGGGCTGGGAGGGATCTGAGACCATCTAGTCCGACCCTCTCAATTCACAGATGAGGAAAATGAGGCTTAGACAGATCAGGTGTCTTGTCAGGCAGAATTTAAACCCAGAGCTTCCTGACTCCCACCCATCATGCTGCCCATTCTCCACTTGACCACGTGTTTCTCAAAGTGCTCCACTCTGCATGAAGCCTGGTAATCAGGCCTCACAGAGAATACAACAGTATCCACAGCAGAATAACTCTCAAGGCAACTTCACGTTCTCTTTCTTCATAAAGCTTTCTCTGATAAATTCCACCTGGCTCTGGTCAATTCACAGTTTATCTTTTACAAGGATAACCAAATGGCAAGTTAATTTAGATCCTGTCTCTACTTGTAATGTCAATTCTAACTGTCTGCTTCACTATGGCTATTCAAAAATTTTAACTGCCTAAAACACCTCATTTTCCAACCATTGTAGGGAACTGTAGTGCATCCTATTACTTGTGACTAATAAATTACCAAGCAGAGATAGCCAAATTCCAAAGAAGTACACTGAACACAAAAATGACCTTAAATTGCCAAGGAAGCCCCTTGAATGCATCTTGAGCTGAGAGCATCACCATGATCCAAGCACCTGAAGCAGTGTTGGAGGGGCAGTGTTGGGAAAGAAGTGGGAGGTGGCAGAAGGGGTCACTGAGTGGTCTCACCCATGACGTGAATGATCCCCTGAAATGGACCCCAGCACCCCTGGAGTAAAGCACCAGCTTGGGCACGTATAGAGAGATGGATATTATGAAGAGATGTTCATGTCTTGGGGAAGAGCAATACTACTTAGTGGTCTGCTTACACTTCTAATCGGAAGAACATGTGAAATTAGGACCACTCTTCAATATTTCAAAAGCTTCATCAGCGGAAATAAGTCTCCCCGCCCATGCAGACTTCACCCCTTCATGCCCTACTAGTTACTGTGGTCAAAAGAATAAAAAATCAGCACCTTCTTGGGATGAACTTTTTCCACCCCAATCAGGCTGGGGGTCACGGGACAGACTCCCCCTAGTTCATCACCAGGACTGGCACATTATGGACTGAGTGAGCAAAGATTCTCTCTGGTAATAAATGACTGGGAAATTCCAATAGACTTGGGAACTTTATATCTGTGAGCATTTATTACAAGTGCTAAGTACTCAGAACCATAGAATCTGAGCAGGATAGATCCCCACAGGCAAGGCTAGTTCAACTCCCTCTCGCTTCTTGAACCTAAAGCATCACTAATGAAGGCACAAGAGGCACCAAAGGTTTCTTGTTCCAACCTTTCTGAGTAGACATTTTCCTGTAACAGCTATGATCAACTATTCTATGCTACTACTACTAATTACTACTCTACTACTAATTAGCAGTGGGATTTGGGGCTCAATCTTTACTGACTCTAGAAACTGCTTTCTTTAAAAAAATCCTATCGGGGGCAGCTAGGTGGTGCAGTGGATAGAGCACTGGTCCTGAAGTCAGGAGGACCTGAGTTCAAATCCGGCCTCAGACCAAACACTTGTCATTAACTAGCTGTGTGACCCTGGGCAAGTCACTTAACCCCAATTGCCTGGAAAAAAAAAATTCTATCAGTTTTCTTTCTTGTGATGTGACTCATAAGAGTAAGATGCCGAGCATTCAGCTCTCTGGTTGTGTGTGAGGTGGCTCTACTCTTCTCCCTGATTAACTATGGGCTGGGCCCCTAGTTGGTACCATTGAGTTTTTCAGAGTTTGCATTCTGAAAATGGTGGGGGAGGACTTAGGAAGAAAGGAGAAGGATACAATAAACTAAAAGAGAAAGCAGAATTCTTGATTTCAAGAGGAGAAGAGCAAATATATTCTTATTTTTCATTTTAACAACTATGTACTGTTAAAAACGGAACCCACCCATCCTGAGCATTTAGTACACCACAGGACAGAGAACGGGGTATAGGGGCTGTCAAGGTTGAGGGTAGACCTGCAGGAGTTGGAGTAGTGACTGCACCTTCTAGACTGGTTCCAACAAGGGATCGAGCAGAACTCTGAGTCTGAAAAGATGGAAAAAAAAAAGTCAAATATCATTATCTACTCATACTCTTACCGTTTGCTATTTTAACTTCTAAAATCTATCATGTATGCAACCTACATCTGTTCATAGGCCTTTATGCACCACCATTTCTTCAACTGTCTTTGGCCCACTGATTAAGTGCATCTAAAGCCAAACATCTGCCCCTCCTAGTACTCCTACAGGCTCTTTGGAGTCTTCTTCTGACCGGAGCAGAGAAACTCAACCTGAGAGGATCTAATGGGACAAGTCTTAGCACCAAAAGGAGCAGATTAAACACCTCTCACAGGGACTTCAGAGCTTTCTCCAAATCCTCCTCCAGACACAGCCAATTCAAGTTCATATCCTACAGTGGACCTGGGGATAAAATAGTTGTCAGCCAAGGATCAAGAAGCAGCATTTCCAGCCTATCAGGAAACAGATACCTGAAAAAAGGCTTAAGCCCATCACACTCGTCCACCACCTTTCTGCAGGGAATAACAACCCTTAAGGACATATGTCACCATAAAGCATGACGACTTACACAAGCGATTTTTAGCAGATGCCAAATTTCCCTCTGCCTCTTTCCCTGCATCAACATGACTGTACTGTCAGCTTCTTTGATGCTATTGAGGGCCGCTTCAATCTTGGGGAGCAGGTCAATAATCTTCTGCTTACAGCCCAACAGCTTGCTGGAGAGAAGAGCCACGGTCAGTGTCAGAAGGAAGGACCAATCCCCTGAAGAATATGAACAAATACCAGCACAGCGCCACGCTGCTCCTGCTGAGCGTGTGGACCACGCTGTGGAAAGCTCTGGCATGGGATTCCTTGGCTTTTATACAGGGAGAAAAAGCGAATTTCTACCTGAGGTGACCAAACAACTCCTTGAGAACTCGGTCCTGGTTCTGCACAGTCAGCACAATGATTTTCACCATCTCCGAGCTATCACTGTAGGAATGATCTGTGAGAAATAACAAACAGCAGGACCAGTCATTCTTCACCAACAGCCTGGAGAAAGAACCCTCCCCTAAACCCTGAAAGCATTACCATTTAAATTCAAAATCTGATTTGGTAAATGAATGCCAGAATAGGCCAAGCAAAATGTAATAATTATGAGAGTAATTCAAATTAATACAGCACTTTAAGGTTTACAAAATGTTTTCTTCACATCAATCCTGGGGGGTTGGGTAGTACATTTAGTAGAAGTGCAAAATGAAGAGAGGTTAGGTGACCTACTTGTGGTCAGTTAGTATCGGATTTGGGACTAAAACCCAAATTTCTCAATTCCCAAGTCAAATGTCTTTTTCACGACATCATTCTGCTTCAATAGAGATTTTGTTGTTTGGTCATTTTTTCAGTCGTGTCCAATTTTTCATGACCCCATTTGAGGTTTTCTTGGCAAAGATACTGGAGTGGTTTGCCATTTCCTTCTCCAGATCATTTTTTATGGATGAGGAAAGTGAAGCAAATAGGGTGAAGTGACTTGCCCAGGGTCACACAGCTAGTAAGCGTCAAGTGTTTGGTCTGAGGCTGGATTTGAACTCAAGTCCTCCTGACTTCAGGGCTGGTACTCTATCCACTGTGCCACCTAGCTGCCCCTTTGTTTTGTTTTGTTTTGTTTTTTTAAATGCACAGAAGCAAACAGAATTGTGGTTTTCTGTTTTGTTTTTTGGGTTTTTTTAGGCAATTGGGGTTAAGTGACTTGCCCAGGGTCACACAGCTAGTAAGTGTCAAGTGTTTGGTCTGAGGACAGATTTGAACTCAGGTCCTCCCGACTTCAGGGCAGGTGCTCTAACCACTGCACCACCAAGCTTCTCCCCCCCCCCCCCCCGCGGCTGTTTTATTGCCCTCTTGTTGTGTACCAGTGCCTTCAACACAGTAAGTTCTTTAAAAATGTTTGCTAAGGCAGAGGGCACTAAAAGCACTTAAGGAAGCAGGAAACCACTGGCTCGAGAGCTGGGGAAAGGGGAAACAGGGCAATTCAGCAGGCCAGCTACTGCTCCAAACACGGCAACCACGTCTCCAACTCGGCTGTTCCAAATGTCATCTGTACAATACAAGATTTTCTAAGTTGGCAGAATCTCATCCAATTTGGTAAACTCATCAAAAGCACCAGATAGCCTTTCGGTTTCCCACAGCTCCACTACTCTACCATCAAACAGCAAGGACTTTTCAACTCCTCTTATCTTATTTTACCTCCAACATCCCAATCACTCCATGCCCCAAGCTCTTCCTATTATAGCCGTCATTTCTGGAAATTCCATAGACCAGAGCTTCTTGACTATATGTTTTACATAAATAAATATGGTCATAAATGGTTTCTAGAACAGGTTAAAAGCTGGACTATCTGTGTGACCTGGAGAAAAGTGACTGAATACTGGAAGAAATCAGAGAAGCAGCAGATGAATGCTGTTTGTTGATTGAAAAAGTGGCAGCAAGAAAATGTGAGAGAATCATACCAAGTCATGTCTCATGTCAACTTCAACTCAAAAATCTGACCTAGCAAACTAATCAAAGCAGAAAGAGGAGCTTCACCAGACTGACTGGTCTGGCCTGGGTGGATGCCTCACAGTGAAGGCTGATTTGTCCTGGGGCAGAAGCAGAGCAGAACGAGGAAGAGCTCCTGGGAGACCCAAAAGGACTAGCATGGGACGTGGTTTCATGACCAAGAGTTTTCTAAGTAAGCTGGACAAAGCTGGGCACCCAGAACTACCAACCTGCACAGATTGTTCATATCCCATGACTCCTCACCACAGTAAACAGCTCATTGCACTTAAAACAACTGGCCTGAGTAAGCCAACCTATTGCTGACTTCTCAATGAGAAGGAGTATGGAGGAAGAGGAAGACAAGGAGAAGGTGGTAAGGGACACAGTCCCCAGGTCCCAAACTAGGAAGGTCCCAAACTCTGGGGATAAGGGCAGCTGAAGAACCATGAGAACAAGACAGCGGAAGAGGATGGCATGTCATCATCTCCAAAGCCCTGTAAATCCTCATGTCACAAAACAAAACGAGCTCCAATTAACCAAACATTAAGGGGCTTAGAGGGCTTCTTTCCTTGTCCTTTCTGGTTTCCATTTACTGCTTTTCACTTTGTGGACTACCTACAAGACATTGGCCTTCAGTTGTTTCAGCTGATGAGAATGTGATTTTTGGTACCACATTAATAATTATAAAATCTTCCTACAACTCAAATCAACTTATGCTATATGTACAGTAATTTGTTCTTTTCCATCATAACATGCCACACGCTATCTATCTTGTTTGTAGTAAATGTTGTCTGACTGGCCAAACAAGTAACCAGTGACAGATGCAATCACACAAGTCAGTAGCTTTCAATATGGAGTGCCCTGTCCCTCTTTGAATGAGGATCTTCCCTCTGTAGAGACATTAGGCTTCTGCCAACTTCCCCAGTCAATAGATTTTAGTGTTGTTTTTTTATCTTGTTCCCATCTTCCTTCTAAAACCTCATTACTTCACATTTCCCGTTTGCCTTCCATTCCTAAACTCTTGGGTTCCCCAAGATGGGAAGCTTGTGACAATTTCTCTGTATTGTAAACATTATGTAATCCCTGGGCACCACTGAAAAGATACTATCTGGCAGCCCCAGATTTCCATTCAATCCTCCCAGGACAGCAGGTGACACTAACCACTAACCTTGGGAAGTTCTTTCCTATGCTATGACGGGATCTTACCTGGAGATCTGGGCTTCAGTTGCTTGTAGAGATCAATGGCTTTCTGTTCCCTACAAAAGAAAAACCAAGTTATTTTACAGCAATGCCAAGACAAATGTCTTCTAATAATCCATAACTGGAAGCAAGTTGACTGGTTTTAGTCATATTCCATATTTTTAAGAAGGCACAGAACTCTACTAGACAATTACATAGTATTTCTTAGTGCCCACTTCAGAAAATATAGAGCTAAAAGAGTCAAAGTACAGTGTGCTTAACATACGACTGTATTTTATTCCAAAATGCTGATTTACAACTCCATTGCATTTCCTCATAAGGGCATAAGCCAGAGTCCTTCTGAGAAGATAGATCATGAGCAAATCTGAAGTCTCCTCTAGAGCATCTCAGGTAAGAGGCTGTATGCCCTAGGTGTGGGAAGCAATAGGAACATTGAAGATAACTTCACTTAGATCAACCTCACAATAACCCTTTGAGGTAGAATATTCAAAATATGATGATCTCCATTTTATAGATGAGAAAACAGACTAAAAGCAGGTAAATCACACAGTCAGGAAATATTGGACAAAGGTTCTGACTGGGAAGAGTCCAACATTCTTTTCACTTAGGAGGGAGAAAACCTACCTCAGGCTACAGGGAATAATTTTTGGAAATATCTAAAAATCATCACGTCTAATGGAAGTAACCTCAACAATACTGGCATTTATCACGTGAAAGCCAAGTAGACAGAAATCAACCCAAGTACTTGGCAATGTCATCATGATCAATCAGCCACCCCCAGCTCAAGACCCCAGCCCAGAAAGACCCAGGAGGCAGGATTCCTCACAGAGAGTCCATGACATCTTCCTGACGCCTTGCAGAAGGGCTCCTCTGCAGCTCCACAATTTCTGTATGCAGGGACATGATTTGCTCATCCAAGTATCCGATATCACCAGCCTAATTCAGACAAAATGGGGGTATCACTTAACAGGCATCTCAATTGTGCCCACAAAGCACAAGAGGGTTAAGAAGAGAGAACAGGTCTAAAGAGAAACAGAGGGCTTGTTGCTTGAATGTTGGAAATAAGAAATCTTCGTTTCTAATATAAAAAGGCTTCTTTCCTGACACACCATCTAATCTTCCACATAAGAAGATGCTTAATTTCCCACTTAGTTCTTTGCCCTCTACTTGCCCATCTCAAAATGAATCTAATCCACTGGTTTCTTCTCTGAAAAGGCACAAAGAGATACCAATGTCAAAACTGAAAGAGGAAAAGGATGTGCAGAAACTACCAAAGCAGCTTCATTATGCTGCATTTATGGGTCTTTCCTGCCTGTTGCTCTCATCTGCCTGAACAGGTGACATGAGATGGTACTAGATCCAAAAACCATAGGATATTCATTCTACAACACCTGCCTTCAGTAAGTCCGAGAAGGATCAAGGCAAGACATAGGACTGGAAGGAAGAACAACGTCGAGGCTTCTAGAGAGAGTGGAGAGGTATGATGAAGGGCTTTACGCAGTGCTCATCTGAAGAAGTAACCTGTGCCTACATGAACAGAGCAACCATCTAAAGGATCTGGGGCCTCTCCAGGCGTCCTGATCTGTATCTGGCCACTGGACCCAGCTGGCTCTGGAGGAGAAAGGGAGGCTGTGACTTTGCACAGCCTTCCCTCACTTCAATCCAATTCACTTACAAGGCATGGCATCACCTTCCTGATGTCATGGTCCTCTTCAAGAACGAAGGACAAACAACAACAACCACCCATCTACAGCCAGTCCAGAACATGAGAGAAGATTTCTGGGCAACCACAGGTGTGGATGCATTAAGTAAATACTCTTTCACTCACAAATAAAAGTGATGATAAGGCAAGACAGCAGAAACCAATCTTTACCTGTGCACACTGGATGGCCTTTTCTTCCATTTCTTTCCAGGCTTTCAGCATTTTTTCTGAGGCTGAAACAAAAGTCAAGATTATCTTAGAAATACCCATGAACAAAAACAAAGGAGAGAGACTTCAATGGCTAACATATCCCTATTCTTGATCAGGGTTTTTATCATGACCACAAACACTTTAATACACTAGGTAATTGTATTTTACTCTTATCCAGAATAACCATATCTCCTAACTGAGTAGACTCAGGGTGAAGAGGTACCTCACAGAGTAGACACTGGTACAAAGCCAGTTATTGTTATTTATGTACAGAGAAGGAATTATGGCAGGGGTGCTGGTGACCTCATCTAGTTTACTCAAACTTTATTAACTCTGCAGTTTCATATTGGATCTGAAGGACAGTAAATCCAGGGCAACATGCTATAAAAGATGCTGGCTCTGGAAGGCCACAAATAGCAAGGCCATAATATTCACGTCCAGTGGTGAAGTCAGAAATATAACCCAAAAGGTGTTTGTGCTGGAGAGGAAGAACCACTCCAGACACTTTGAGACAGACTTTGTGTCTTTTAAGAGCGGAGTTTCAAGTCCATAGATTTTAAGATCATTGGCACACTTACCAAAAATCACACAAATCAAAAAATGTGAGTTCCCCATGGAAAGCATCAAATGGCATTTAGTAAGCAAGAATTAAAAGATCACAAACAATTTTTTAAAAAGTTCAAAACAAATAAATCCATCTCACAGCAGACAGAAACTGAACTTAAGAAGGGAAGCAACTACCAGTGTATGTATATAGAGTTCGGGATTCATCCCTCTTTTATTATATTCTCCTAATAATAAATAACAGCAACAATAATAATAACTCCATTTGGACAGGCCTTTCCAATTTCAAAGTGCTTTCCACCCTCACTCTCATTAGAGTACATGGAATACTTACATATCCCATAAGTCATCTGGTCACTGTATCTATCCAGGTCAAGCTGGATGCTCTGGTGAAAAAACTGCAATTTTGCTTTCAGTTGCTGAGACGCTGAGATCATGGTGTTCTTCATTTTGGTTAAGTTAGCATTATAGCGAAGAAGACTCAACCTAAAGCAGTGCAAAGAGACAGAACCACATTTAGGCAGAACGAATCAAGGGCTGATGGAAAAAACGTCATCCTTGCCCCTACACTTTGCTATCCCGGGTGAGAGGCAAACTTGGTCAAGAGGCAGGTTTCCCACTCAATGCTATCTGTCAAGATAAAGACCTTGTAACACTGCGACCAAGCACCTATTCAAAATGTTTTGCTTAGCAGGTTTCAGAGGACAAGAACAACTCCTATTTAAATTGTGTTTTGAGGTTCACAAAGTACTTTCCTCACAGCATTACACAAATATTAGCATCCCCAACTTAAAGTTGGGAAAGCTGGGTGTTTGTATAGCCATCTCAAGGAAGTTACAGGACTTGTTCAGGGTCCTACAACTACTATGTTGCAACCAGAACTTGAATCCAGGTCTTGGACACAAAAATGCTCTCTTTATGCTAGCACCCTGCTGCTTCCATGTGGGCCTTACAGCTTGGGAACCAATGACACAGGTTCTGGGATCACGTCCCAATGGCACTGCCCAGAGCCCCCAAAGTCCAGCATATGGTGTCTCACTACTGGATGGCCCACTGATTATTTAAGGCCTAACGTATCCCCCACGCCCTGAGTCCCCTGGACTGTGGGGCCTCTATTCAGAGGCCTGCTTACATTGCTGCTCTCTGCCCCTGGAAGAGCCTGCTGTAGTCTTCTTTGAGCCCAGACACATAATGCACAGCTTCAGCCCACACTCTACGCAGCTGCATAACTGGTAATTGGATTTTGCTGTCCTTTACTGTGGGGGGGAAAAAAGGCTTGGTATAAACTGATGCAGAGCAAAGCAAACAGAACCAACGACTAGAATAATGTTAATGAAAAGGACACTGAAAAGAAGCTGAAAGAACCAATCAAGGTTCCAAAGAAGACATCATGAAACTCATTTCCCTTCCCTCAGCACCAAGGTCAGAGACCACAGGGACAGAATCCTGCCAACACCGTCAGGCAGGGTCACTGCTATGAGGGGCACTGAAATGTGGCAGGATAAGAAAGAGAAGGATGCTCAATTCTAAAATGATTGTGACACAAAAACCAAGAACTATCAAATAAAACTTTGTTTAGAAAGAGTGAATTGATTTTCCAGTGTCGACTGCCAAGAATCCCTCACAACCTGGCCTATTTCAGAATTAAACATTACCTACCATGTGCAAGGTCCTGTGGAAGACATGCAAGTAACAGTGCCTCCTGAGGGGTGGAGGACCCTATCCTTTACAAGCTACAGAAGCAGCAAATGTGTGAGTCCTGCAGAGCTTATGTCTGCGCAGAGAAAGGTCTAAAACTGGGAAACTCATCCTTTAATCTGGCAGTCTAATTAACTGATCCAAAAGCTAACTGCATGCTAAAATGGATAGTATTTTCTTTATTTGTTTTACTCCACAATATTTTTAAAATTTAATTTTCAGTTCCAAATTCTCTCTCTTCCACCTCTCCCACCCACTGAGAAAGCAAGAAAAACAAAATCCAATACAAATATGCATGGTCAAGTAAACATTAGTCATGCATTAGCCATGTCCCTCCCACCTCTCAAATATATGCTTCAATCTGTACCTCAGTACATCACCTCTATCTGGAAGTGGAGTGGATGTTTCAAGAGACAGTATTTCCTAAAGAATCTTTGCTCTTAAAAGAATTCCATAGCTCCCCAGCCGCCTATCAGCACAACTTAGCCCTAGATCAGAGTGGTAAAGTTCAATAGATTAATGCCACTGGGGGAAGCTGGTCTGGAAGATAGCCTGCCCCTCAGGATATATACTGTTCCCATAGGGACAAATGGGTCAGTGGCAAGTCAGGTGACTGGATAGGAACTGATATATAATCTGAGGTAGACATAGTGGGTGAAGATGAATGTAATCAATGTATACAGTACTTTTAAGTTGAATGTATATAATACAGACAATAATTTTATTATTTTTGTGCACCTCTAGGGTTTTTTTCTATCTTTGTTTTTGGGCATACTGTCAATCATATCTATGGTTTGTTTGTTGATAAATCAAGGAGTAGTATGATGGAAAGAGCACAACCTTTAGAATCAAAAAGACCAGTATTCAAATCAAATTCAGGACTCTCCAAATACCTCCAAACCATTCCTTTAAGAATATATTCCAGTGGGGTAGCTAGTTGGCACAGTGGATAGAGCATCAGCCCTGGAGTCAGGAGGACTTGAGTTCAAATCCAACTCAGACACTTGACACTTACTAGCTGTGTGACTCTGGGAAAGTCACTTAACCCCATTACCTAGCCAAAAAAAAAATACAATCTACTTTACAATAATCTATTTTATTGACACAATTTTGAGGGAATTATTTCGAGAAATGTGAGCTGCCTCTATTATTATGAAAGGTATCTTTTTTTTTCCCCAAATAGCTTTACATATTGACAAAGAACATGGGAAACTCTATTCCTTTAAAAGATCTGTTCTTCTGATAGATTACTCAGTCAGTTCTTACCAGTGTTATCTCTGTTTTTTTAAAAGTTATTAGTGTATCCAGGGCTGTATCCCAAAGAGATCATACAAATGGGAAAAGAACTCCCATGTACAAAAATATTTATAGCAGTTCTTTTAGTGGTGGCAAAGAATTGGAAATTGAGGGAATGTCCCATTAACTGGGGAATGGCTGAACAAGTTGTGCTATATGAATGTAATGGAATACTACTGTGCTACAAGAAATGATGAGCAGGCAGACTTCAGAAAAACCTGGAAAGTCTTGTATGGTCTGATGCTGAGTGAAGTGAGCACAACCAGGAGAGCACTGTACACAGTAACAGCCATGTTGTGTGATGACTAACATTGATAGACTTAGCCCTTCTCAGCAATGCAAGGATCTAAGACATCTCCAAAGATCTCATGACAGAAAATGCTATCCACATCCAAAGAAAGACTTACAGAGTTTGAATGCAGATCAAAGCACACTATTTGCTCTTTTTTTTCTTTTGTTGTGTTTTGTTTTCTCTTTCTTGTGGTTCCTTCTATTGGTTCTAAGTATTCCTTACAACATGACTAATGTGAAAATATGTTTAATAGGAATGTATACGTAGAGCCTATATCAGATTGCATGCCATCTTAGGAAAGGAGGTGGGGAGGGAGGGGGAGAAAATTTAAAACTCAAAAGCTTATGGAAATGATTGTTGATAAATCAAAATTAATTAATTAATAAAAAAATAAATAAATGAGGCAACTAAGGTTCAGTCAAGTGACTTACCTAAGGGCGCACAGCAAGTCAGAAGGCCTAGAACAATTCTGGCTACCACCCTATTCTCTTTCCAATGCGCATACCTCTTTGCATGTGAAGAATCCACAGCAGCGCCAGTCAATCCCTGCTACTCACCCAATTCCAGCAGGAAGCTGACTGTGCTACAACCACCAGCACAATCCCTTCCCTCCCCTCTACCAGGTATATCCTTTACATTTTCTCTATGGTTCATTTCCTGATGTAAAACCACCTCTGAGTCATGGACAATGATCTTTACTAATTTTCCCAAAGTGATTTCTAGGAGTCATAACTCTCCTCAGGGAATCAAAAAATCTTAGCAGCAGAAAGAACCTTAAAGAATCCAATTCAATACCACCTCACACCTATCCTATTGGTTAATAAGACAGAAAAGGAAAATGATAAATGTTGGAGAAGATGTGGGAAAACTGGGACTCTAGTGCACTGTTGGTGGAGTTGTGAACTGATCTAATCATTCTGTTTTTTGGAGGGTTTTTTTTTTGTTTTTTTAATAGACAATTGGGGTTAAGTGACTTGCCCAGGGTCACCCAGCTAGTAAGTGTCAACTGTTTGGCCTGAGGCAGGATTTGAACTCAGGTCCTCCTGACTCCAGGGCCAGTGCTCTATCCACTGCACCACCTAGCTTCCCCTGATCTAATCATTCTGAAGAACAATTTGGAACTATGCCCAAATGCAAATACCCTTTGACCCAGCAATTCCACTACTAGGTCTGCATCCCAAAGAGATCATTAAAAAGGGAAAAGGACCCACATGTACAAAAATATTTATACCAGCTCTTTTTGTGGTGGCAAAAGAATTGGAAATTGAAGGAATATCCATCAACTGGGGAATAGTTGAACAAGTTGTGGTATATGCATGTAATGGAATACTACTGTTCCATAAGAAATGATGAGCAGGCAGGTTTCAGAAAAACCTGGAAAGACTTACATGAACTGAAGCAGAGTGAAATGAACAGAACTAGGAGAACATTGTACACAATACCAGCCACATTATGTGATGACTAACTTTGATAGACTTAGCTCTTATCAGCAATACAAGGATTTAAGACAACTCCAAAAGACTCATCATGGAAAATGTTATCCACATCCAGAGAAAGAACTATGGAGTCTAAATGCAGATCAAAGCATACTATTTTCTCTTTTTTTCCCCTTTCTCATGGTTTTTCCCTTTTGTTCTGATTCTTCTTTCACAATAGGACTAATGGGGAAATATGTTCAATATGATTGTACATGTATAGCCTATATCAGATTGCATGCTGTCTTAGGGAGGGGAGAGGGGAGGAAGAAAAAAATTTGGAACTCAAAATCTTATAAAAGTGAATGCTGAAAACTAATTAATTTTCATTAATTTTTAATTTTCAAAGAAAGAATCCAATTCAATCTCCTACTCCATTACTTGACAGATGACAGTCACCTGGCCTGTTTCAGTGATAAGGAGCTTAGAGAGACAGCCTGGACTAGTGGATGACACACTCCAAGTCAGGTAAACCTGGGTTCAAGTCCTTACTAGCTGTATATCCATAAGCAAGTCACTTAACCTGTCAGCCTCCATTTCCTCACCTGTAAAATGGGAATAATAGCACCTAACTTGCTGTGAGGATAAACTGAAATAATGTATATTAAATGCTTTCAAATCCTCAGCCACTATATAAATGTCAACTATTATTATCACCCTACATGCCCCACTCCATTTTTGAAAAGCTCTAAAATTCTTCCCTATACTGAGCTGAAACTGGCCTCACTTTAATTTCTACCTATTAATCTCAATTTGGGGATCAAGCAGCATAAGTACACCTGTTTTTATACTACATGACAATCCCACAAATATTTAAAGACAGCAACCATAATCCATTTAAGTCAATAGGCAATGTCTAGGCTACCCACCCACAGTATCCTCAAACATTCTATATCGTGGAAGCTTGCTTATTACCCTGGCCATCTTCCTCCAATTACAGTTTAGTTCATCAATCTCTTCCAAAGTACAAAACACCATCAATAAGTGAGATGTGATCTCACGGGCACAGACTACAGAAGTCTGGTTCTCTCCCTTCTTCTGGCCTACGTACTTCCATTAAAAGCTACGGTCAAGAGATAAGACAATGTACCCCCTTCTCCTTTCTCTGCAGAGGTGGAGGGGTGTGGTGTGGACCACTGCCTACCATGTTGGGAACAGATGGTGTGCTTCTTCCTCTTATTCATTATAAGGTGTCTCTCTCTGGGAAGGAGAGGAACATATTAGGATATTCCCCCTTTAGAAGGTAAGAAGAGGCTGTCTCATTCTTTGTGACCCCAAAGTCTGGCACAGCTCCAGACACATTGCCAAAGTTTAATAAATGCCTACTGATCAACTGAGCTACGGAAGTGATATAAACAAACAAAGGTTAAGACGACATTACCTTTGGGGGCAGTATCATCACACTGTCTACTCATGTTGAGGTTACAGCAACTAAGATCCCAGTTTTCTTCCTACAAACTGCTCCTCATGCATCAATGACTATTGAGCTCCCACTAAATTAATCAAACATGCCTCCCTGAGAGATGACTACTCAACAATCATTTGGTTATTAACATCAAACTGAGCATAAAAGAGGTGCTCTCCACCACTGTTCAGTGCAGATTGAACATGAAATATTCTGCACAGAGCCCCTCATGAGACCAGCCTAACAATCTGCACAGGAAAACTAATGGAAAGAGAAAGATACTCAGTGCATCCATCAGTCCATCAATCTTAGGCCCTAAAGATAGACAGAGAGCTCAACCCAGAAGTAAATGGGAAGGGAGTAGGCTAGATTGTGTTTGTGAAATTGTGGAGCACTCAACAACTCCAGGCTGCTCCCAGGCACAAAGCTCATCTTTTTTATACCGATCGTGTTCCAGTGACAGCTCTGAATCACAGAACAACACAATTTAAGAAGATTCAAAATTTAAGGTGACCAAAAGGGAAATGGGAGAGATGCATGGTGGGCATAAGCAAGATGGAACATGTAACCAATGATCATTTACACACAAATAGTAGGATAAAACATATCAGCTGGGAAACATATGACCAAAAAAGGGGGATGGACCAATCTGATGTCAAGAACAAGAAACAACAGACAGACAGCTTGAGTGCACCACTGGTAGCAAAGGAAAATTCATGGACAAGACTCAAATGTGTTAAGAAGTCATGGATGGGTAATTACCTGCACAAGTGGAAGAATATCCATACTGATGACACTGGACAGTTCCACTGAAGCGTCAAAGTACAAAAGAAATCTATTCAGTTCCAGACTGAATGAAACATAAACTTTCAAAAGGCCTAGCTTGGCCCAACCCAATTCCCAAAAGCTCAGGCTAGCTCATCTCCTCATAGGTCACAGAAAATAATAACTTCTCTTCAGAATATTCCCAATGTGGGTTCACCAACCTAGATTCTTGGCATCTCAGAGCCTCAGAGATGCATTCTTTCATTCCCAGGCTCAGTCTCAGCCAAAGCAGGAGGCATGTGTGTGGTGCTTAGTCCTGTTACTATCACTTAGCTAACTTCTCTCACCTTTCACACCTTACAACAGCAGCAACAACTCGCATTTATGTAGCGCTTTAATAAGATTTGCAAATTGCTTTACAAATGTTATCTCATTTTATCCTTAGAACAATATGGGAAGTAGGTGCTATTATTATCCTCATTTTTATGGGAGAGAAAACTGAGGTGGACCAGACCCCATCATGACCCTAGGAAACCTCTTCAATAGGAGACTTATCACTCTCTGAGACTGTATCAGCCTTAGCACTCACACTTCATCAGGCCCCTCAGTCCCCTCTGCCCTTCAGCCAGAGGGCAGAGCAAAGCACTCCACCCCAAGCCTCCATTTAAAGAGGGCTCCGAGGCCAGCCATCTCTTCACTTCCCACCAGGTGCACTCTTCAGGAGTAGAACCCATCATGCCTACATGAGAGTACTTTCTCCACCCTGACCCAAGAGTAACTTCTTCCCTTCCTCCCTTTCCTCCCCCATCCCCTTTTCAGCTTACTTTTGCATATGTTGCCTTCCTCCATTAGACTCTAAGCTCCTTGAGGGCAGGGACTGAATTTCTATTTTTCTATTTGTAACCCTAACACTCAGCACACTGCCTGACACATAGCAGGCACTTAATAAATGTTCACTGACCAACTGACAATGAGCCTAAGTGATTTATTTGCCCAAGGTAACACAGCTAGTAAGTATCCGAGGCTGGATTTGAACTCAGAAATTCCTGACTCCAAATCTACTGTTCTGTATACTGCACCACCTCAGCTGCCTGAGAAAGCCAAGGGAATACAAATCAAATACAGTGTTCCATCACCTCACAAAAAAAAAATCAGAATTCAACTCTACACATGAGTCATCCCCTTTCAGTTCACAAGAGATAAACTCTTTCTTTACAGGAGTTCAGACCAGTTAACACTAAAAGACCATTCTACCCGCAACTATGTTAGGTCAGTAAGAAATGACACATTACTTACCAATATAATTTACACATTCAGATAAACTTCTGGAAGCAAAGGGCCCCTCATAGACGATCTTGCTTTTATCAAACAAATATACCATGTAGCTATCACAGCCTCGCTGGAAGAGAAACAAATCCCATGAGTAGCCATTCCAAGGGGCCTGATATCCCAGATTCTCTCTTCCCAGATACCCTGAAGGCACTAATGTCAACATACTATTTTTATATATGAGAAGTTTTAGCTTAAATTGCTTAGCACAGTCACGTCTTCCACATAGATGTGGCACATACTATATGTAGGATCAACAGTCAATAATTTGAAAAACATAATTATAAAAATGTCATTGCAGGAATTAATAATCAGGGATAAAGATAATCAAAAAGTCTTAATTAGACTCAGGCTTTGTCATGCTTACTTAAAGCATGGCCTACTCAATTTCAAGATCTTCAGGAAAAGCAGGGGGGAAAAGGAAGAAAATAACGTGGGCGTGGTGGGGTAGAAAATGTGGATCTAAATAAGGAAGGTAACTCAGACAAAATATTAAACATTCATCATTCTATTTTATCTCATTGAGCAACTCAGAGAGCCGAAAAGACAAAGCTAAGAGGAATTACAGTGAGTATGCAAAGCCTGGACACAATCAGGCTCACACACTTTCTAGGGATATTTTAAGTCTCTTACTACTCCATCTAGAACACACTGAGAGGCAGGCTTCCGAGGGTCCAGGGAAATCCCCATCTCTAACAGCAGTTCTTGAGAAGCCGTATTTATTCCGGTCTCATGCTCAATCCGAGACTGGAGTGAATGAAGACTCTCCTCCGGCGACAGCAGGAAGGAAATTATCTTGGCAGAAGTCATATTCAATATATGCGCTATCTGTATAAATGAGAAAATAAAGATTAATTAGTGTTTATCAGTTGTCTAATGTGTGTAAGGGGCTATGGGGCACACAAAGTATAAGATATAGAAACTGTTTTGTCCCATCACATGCCAATAAAACTGCCAGTTTCTCTGTTAATGGTCTTATTTCTAAGATACATAGAGAACTGATGCAAATTAATAATAATGAGTCATTCCCCAATCAATATACAGTCAAAGGATGTGAACTGGTAGTTTTCAGAGGATGAATTCCAAGATATCAAAAGCAATATGAAAAAATCACTAGAGAAAGCAAATTACAGAAACTCTGAGGCTCCACCTGACACCCATCAGATTGAGAAAGTTGACAAAAAAAGGAAAGTGACAAATTATGGAGAAGTTATGGAAAACAGGTACTCATATTAACTCTATCTTGGAAGAACTGTGAACTAGCCTAACCATTACTAATGTGGAACTGCACCCCAAAAGTTACCAAAACGTGCACGTCCTTTGACCCAGCAATACCACTACTAGGCCTATATGTCAAAGAGATCAAAGAAAAATATGTACAAAAATGTTGGTAGCAGCTTTTTTTGTGATAGCAAAGAACTAGAAACTGAAGGAGCGTCAATCAACTGGAGAATGGCTGAACAAATTCTGCTGTAGGAAATGATGAAGGTTACAATTTCACAGAAACCTGGGAAGACTTCTACGAATTAATGAAGAGTGAAATGAGGTGAGATCAGGAGAACAATTTCTAGAAAAGCAGCAGCATTAAATAATCAAACAATTTTGAAAGCCTTAAGAATTCTGATCCAAGGGGCAGCTAGATGGTGCAGTGGATAGAGCACCAGCCCTGGATTCAGGAGGATGTAAGTTCAAATCCAGCCTCAGACACATAACACTTAGTGTGACTCTGGACAAGTCAAAAAAAAAAAAAAAAAAAAGAATTCTGATCCAAGCCATAACTAAGTGTGATTCCAGAGGACTCATGATAAGACATGCTACCCTACCCACCTCCTATCAGAGAAGTGATAGGCTCAGGGTGCATATTGAGGCAGATTTTTTTGGACAGTTCAATTTGTTTTGCTTGACTGCATGTTTCTTACAAGGGTTTAGGTTTTCCTTTCTCTTTCAATTGGGGTCAAGGAAGTAGATGGAAAGGTGAATTTTCATTAATTGGGAAAAAAAACAAACCCCAAAGCTGAAAGACATACTTAGTATTCACAAATGTAAAACCAAAAAAGTTTCTATTCTGCAAAGATAAGTTTTAGTCTTCTGGGTAAATTCTCCAAGGAGCTACTACAATCACTTTTAAAAATCAAATGCAAGGGGCTCTTAGGAGACAGATATAAAAGATTTTCTTTATTATTTCTATATAAACATTTAAAAGTAAAAACAATCTTCTTCAAAATTGGGGTTAATCTCTAACCTAGGTATCCTGTTAGAAATTCCCCAAGACTTGTTTTGTTTCTTGTTTCAGCAACAATGAAAGTAAATACTAAGTATCCTGAGATAGACACTCCAGGGCTCCTCACAAAGGCATAAACATCAAGAATGTAAATTCAAAATATATTTATGGAATCCCTACCAAGTGCTAGGTGTTGGAGGAGGAAGAAAAGAAAAGTAATACATATCTTGGTAAGAGATAATAAGGGTCTAAAACTTAGATACTGGCAGTGAACACGTAAAGGAGATGTAAGAAACACTGAGGAGGTGGATCCAACAGGACACAGAAACTGATTAAATGTGATGGGCAGAGCAGAAGAATCAAGGATAACTCAGGCTTTTTAACCCTGAGGAAATGGGCAATTGTTGGCACCCTTTATAGGAATAAGGAAACCAGAGAAGGGATGAGGCCATGTAGTATCCTAAGCAGCATGAGTCAGTGGGAAGTGTCCTGATTTCAGATCATGCCTCTATAGACTCCCAATGTGACCTTAAACCAGTATCAGTTTCCCTTTTTGAAAAATGAGAAGCTTGGGCTACAATATCCCTACTATTTCTTCTAGCTCTCTATCTTGTGAACCTACAGCCAGGTTAGGCAGCCTTATTAAGAAAGTCTTTTCAGAATGGAAGGAATATGAAAAAGTAAAAATAAAGGAGGATCAGATCAATGTAAGGTCCTTGGGTTGCCAGCAGCTACCTCAGAGAAGTCTTAAGCTAGGATGTTTGCCCAGGCTAGATAAGGGATAAAGTATTCTCCTATTCAAAGGCTCCAGAATCTACCACTGGGCAGGAAGGTAAGCCTTTACTGGAATACTCTTAGGGTCCAATAGGAATCCCTGCTAAAGCACCCCTCTTTCCTCCCCCTTACCCCCCACCGAAACACAAGTGGTCATCTAGTCTCTGCATAAAGTCTTCCATGCATGATTCATTCCACATTTAGACAGCTTAAACTATCAGGCACTTTTCCCTTCAGTCTGGCCCAAATCAGGTTCCTAAGACTGCTAGCCACTGCTTCTAACACAGACCTCTGGGGCCAAGCAGAACAGGTTGATTTTAATCCCTTTCCCATATAACAGCCTTTCAAATACTTGAAAACCACTACCCAGCCTCCCACTCCCATCTTTCCTCCAAGCTACATGTCCCCATTTGAGTCAAGTGATCTTCATTATGGAACGGTCTTTATTCTCCTCACTCTCCCAGTCTCGCTTCTGAATAAGTCCCAACCTGTCTATGTTCTGCTTAAAATGTTACCCCCTGGGGGTAGCTAGGTGGCACAGTGAATGGAGCTCCAGCCTTGGAGTCAAGAGGACCTGAGTTCAAATCTGGTCTCAGGAACATAACACTTACTAGCTGTGTGACCCTGGGCAAGTCACTTAACCTTGAATGCTTCACCAAAAAAAAGCAAAAAAAAAAATGTTACCCCTAGAAACATATATACCATACTCCTGATGTGATCTTGCTATGGAGGAGGGTCCAGTGACTATCATTCCACCTTATTCTAGACCCTACACCTTCCATACTGCAGCCCAAGATTTTACTGGCTTTTTTTCTGCCTCCTCATAGCACTGACCCATTATGAATAGGGAATTGGGCCTTCAGTCCTTAGAGACACCCAGGTCTCTTTGTCTTGAGTGATACAGAACTGTACTTTCCCCTTGGCTTCATAAGTGAAGGCAGTGTGGTGCAATGAAAGGAGTGCTAAGAACCTGGGCTCAAATCCTGATTCTACCACTTATATCTGTGTGACCGTGGACAAGTAACCTCTCTGGGTTTTGGTTTTCTCATTCTCATATATTTTTTAAAAGTTTTCAAATCACATTTTCACAAATTTAATCATTTCAGATGTACTAAGGTGCTAAGAGGCTTAAAAGGAGTTGTTTAGTGAATTTTTTTAAGATGAAGAATTTCACTAAAATGCAAATAATACCCCCCATGTATGTTTTATAAATTAAGATTTCTGAAGGTAGGCATTCTTAAAACAGGACACATCTATGTGCAGTCATGCTTGAGAATGTACAATGTACGAGTACAGACAAGACTGAAGTGTTCTGTGGCTACAACCAGTGCTAGGAGTCCTCAGACAAACAGAGCCAAAAGCCATCAGAGCCAACCCTATGAGCCAAGCATACCTTTCAATCACCTGCTAACTAACCAAATGAAACAAAGCAGAAGAAACCCAAAGGCCTTCTGGGAACACAGAAAAGGACGATATCCACAGGATATCCAGTTCTAAATCAAAGAAGGTTACAAAGAAGTAGCATCCAACCTAGCATGAGTGCTATTTTCTTCATTTCTGGCTTATGACCTGCCAACAGTAGGCACTTGAGCATAAATTGACTGTGGAGGGAAGGAATTAGCCAGCTGTGCAAAGGGAATGGCTCTACATACCAGCCTTCTACATCAATTAACTGACAGTAAACATTTGGAAAGTGTCTATAATGTAACTGACCCTGTGCTGGACACTGTGGGGCATACAATAGGTGCATCAGACACTGCCCTGACCTCAACCAATCAAGAAACAGCAGCAATTCTGCAAAACTTAAGTGCTAAATTATGTGACACACTGACAAAAGAGATCCAGGTGGCTAGGTCACAGACCAGCACATGTGCTCATTGTATACTTTGTTTTTATGTCAACAAATTATAATAGGGTTAAAAAAAAGTTGTGATATACACTGTTCATAAAAAGAATGCTTCCACATGCACTGGAGACGGGGGAGACATTATAACATGGAGGAACTTGAAGAAGAGGTCGGACTTGGACAGGCAGAAGAGGAAGGAGGTCAACGGGGGAAGAGGGTGATGAGCAAAGAAAGGTAGAGGGGCAGGAATGAACGCCACGGACTGGGTGAGCAATGACAAAAAAATGGTCCTTCCCTGAAATGGAGGCTACATGGGAAAGAAGGCTGGGTGACAGGGTGGGGATGGACAGTGGAAGGCCTTGAAAGCTCAGCCTTCACCTGCTTAACAACGAGAAGCCTCAGCAACTTCCTAAGCAACTGAGGAAGAGGAACCCAACTACAGGAAGGAGACCCCCGAGGCTGGGGAGGAGGCCAGGGAGGAGGCCGGGGAGACCAGGGAGGAGGTCGGGAAGGAGGCCAGGGAGGAGGCCGGGAAACTACACACATCGTGATGGTACCCTGGTCTAGGCGACAGGCCCCCACAAGGGAAAAGGAGCAACGTGACGGGGCGTCTTGAAGATCGAACCAAGAGTGACCTCTTCGTGGATGAGTACTGAAAAGCTATTGTTGTTGTTGTTTTTCAGTTGTGTCTGACTCCTCATGACCCCATCTGGGGCCTTCTTGGCAAAGATACTGGAGGGGTCTGCCATTTCCTTCTCCAGCTCATTTTAGACATGAGGAAACTGAGGCAAGCAGGGTGAAGTGACTTGCCCAGGATCACACAGCTAAGTAAGTGTCTGAGGCTGGATTTGAACTCAGGTCTTTCTGACACCAGACCCAGCACTCTATCCACTGCACCACCCAGCTGCCCAAGTATCAAAAATATTGTTATCAGTAACAATAATAATTCACATATATAGTACTTTAAACGTTAACTCAATTGATCCTCACAACAACCCTACAAGGCACATGCCATTGTTATCTCCATTTTTTTAAATTTTTTTTTTATTTAGTTAGGCAGTGGGGTTAAGCGACTTGCCCAGGGTCACACAGCTAGTAAGCATCAAGTGTCTGAGGTCGCATTTGAACTCAGGTCCTCCTCAATCCAGGGCCAATGCTCTATCCACCTCACCACCTAGCTGCCCCCATTATCCCCATTTTACTGATGCAGAAAGTAAGGCTGAGACAGGTCAAGTGACATGCCATAGGTCACAAAGCTATTAGTGTCTGAGGCAGGATTTGAACTCAGGTCCTCCTGACTCCAAGTCCAACGCTATGGTTATTGTGCCACCAAGTGGCCATAAGAAGAAAGCACAAGAATACTACTAGGCAAACAGGTGAATGGAATTAGTCTTCGTGCTATTATTTCCACTTAAAAGTAAAAAAATGACTTCTCATAGTCATTTCCTAAAGAAGCTTTAACTGAACTTTGATGCTTTCCAGGGAGAATGTCACAAAACTCACCTTCAAGTTCAGTATGTGCTCCATGATCACAAAGCATCCTGGCTGCTTCAGTGTGACGTCCAGACTTCCCCCTCTCTGCTGAGGATCCCAAGTCAGCATCAACTGTAACCACTGCTCCATTGGCTCTACTATGAAACTAAAGCACAAACAGCACGGCTCTGTGACAAAAGGAGGCTTCTGAGGGCCGGCCTGCGTACTTCCTGTCTCACTGTGTGGCTTAGCCATCGTATACCATAACTTCTGAATGATACTAAAGTGGAAAGGGGCTCAACTACACCTAAGTCAGAGAAATAAGAGCCTCTGGAGCCATGCACGAAGTGTGTTCTGTGGTCGCTGGCAACTCACACAGGAGATCCAGGCTCTTTTCTGCAATGAAACCATTGAAGCTGTCATCCCGATAATTCTCAGAGAGCAGGGAGGAAGGATCTGGCTGGGGAACTGACCTCCTATGCCCTGCGCTGACGAAGTCTCTGCTTGGCAAGGTGCATTTCTTTATGGCATTCTTAACAAACTCTGGTAAAATCTGAGGCAAATTATCTCAGTTATAATCCACTTACCTAGAGAGGCTATTTGGTTGAGGTAAGTGGCTACTAAATCTAACCTCTCCAGTCATCTCTTCAAACGCAAATATGTGCTTGGGATCTTTCTTTTTAATCTTTTCGTGCCTAGAAAATAATAAGGGATAATAACCTCATTATACACAAACACTTTAAGATAAAATGGATGTCTTATATTTCGATTTAATTTTATGTTTATAAAAAAGTGAATTACTGATTCCCACTCTCAGAAAGCCCAACAAAATTTTTTCCTCCATTTCTTACCAGGTAAATGGCTGCAGATGATGTAGGAAAGGTCTATATCCCACAATACATTCAAACACCATTGTCCCAAAGCTCCAATAATCAACAGTAGCAGTATATGGCTTGTTCTCAAAGAGCTCTGGAGCCTTTGAAAGACACAATGTTTTAAACGTCAAAAAACTGAGGAAAGGAAAGAACATTTTGCAGTATTTGTATACTCATGGCCTTCAGGAATGCATAAGAAAGAAGAATCAAAGTCCTTTATTCTCTAAGTGAAAGAAAAGGAACAGGCCTCACCAGATATTGCAGCGTTCCCACAAAAGATGTGCACAGACTTCCCTGATCAAGGTCTTTAGCATATCCCAAATCAATTATCTTATGAATTATCTGTAAATTAATCAGATAAATTATGTTTAATAGCTGGAAAAAATGTTAAAGAATATACTAAGACTGGAGAACAAGCCCAAGCATAAATTTTAAACTTTTAAAAAACTACTACCTGAACGCGTAACTGTATAAGTGACATAGAGCATGCAAACAAGAAGGGGACAGGGACTAAGGGCTCCCTTTAAGGAAGCACAACCAAAGTCCCCAACACCCCAATCCCCATTCTTTTTCCTTAGCTACTGATTCAGCACTGAATAATCTAACCTAAAGTTTAAAACTTTCATTCTAAAGACCTTAAATAATGTTATTTCCTGGATTCCAGAGAAATAGCAACCTTTTTTCCTTCTGGCAAATGCTTGTATTTGATTAGGTGTTGCTGCTCTGTCATTCACCGCCTCTCTCAATCCCCTGAAGTTGCTAAGTACATCTCCAATTTACTGACACTGCCTGATACAAAGTCACCACTGTTTTCCTGGTCTATAAACTTTGCTAGTGTCTTCTAATCCTCCTTCTTTTTCCCCATCCAGTCACCCAGTCACACAGTCCTAGGATATTATAAATTCTCTAAAGGCAGAGACTATGTCTTATCAAAGGAACCAAGAGTGTGCAAATAACACTATTCAGTTGTCCATCTAAGTCTAAAAATCAGGACAATCAATAAGAGGTGACAGGCTACCTGCTAAGAAAGTTCAAGCACTAGTTATCTAAAAAGAAAGGCTTCTCTTTCCAGAATGGAACTCTATTCTTTTTAGCTATCTAATCAGCATTCTCTGCATGTGCTTACCTTCACCAAAATATTCTATTATATCCACCCCACAACTGGTCCATGATCACCACTTAAAACACATCTTATTATTTCTGATATGTCACCTGGCATTGGGCTATTTAATTCTCTGCCACGAGGAAAGAGTCCTGAAGATGCCACTTGGGAACAAGGCAGTCCAATTGGTCCATTCAACCTGATGCCTTGCATCTAACCATGGCAGAAAACAGCAGTTTGTGGCCACCTGGCATTACAACTGCCTGCCATTGTATAGTCCTCAAAAAAAGAGAGAAGCTACCAAATATCCCTCCACCTTCCTTTGAATATACCCCTCTTGTAACATTCTGGACCTGTCTTCTAATCTAGCTAAACCTTTCTTAACCTATCTCTAGCTTCAGCTGGCACCATGTTACCTCACAGAGGCATGAGCTCCTTAGACTGAATCTGCTGTGTAGAATAAAAAGAAGCCTTACCTTCGTTTAAGATACACAGATGCCCATCGAGTTCTAGAACCCTGCTCTGGGAGCCATAAAACGAGAAAGGACCTCAGAGACCATATCAGACTAAGAATGTCTTTCAGAATATCCCAACAAGTGAGCAGTCATGTAGCCCCACCTAAAAGACCTCTTGTGAGGGTGACCCTCCCATCCACCCCCCAAAGCAGCTTAGCCTGGTTTGGGCTCACTTAATTGTGAGGAAGTTTTTCCTCATATCAAGCAAAAATGAGCCTCTCTGAAGTGCCCTCCATTACTCATAGTTCTGTCCTGGGCCTAGATAGGACAAGTAGAATCCCTTTTCCCCAGAAGTCTTCTCTCCAGGATAAATGTTCTCTCATGACATAGATCCGAGACCCTTCCCCACTCTTCTGGGACGCTCGCCAGCTTATCCACGTCTTACATAAAAGATGGTGCCCTGAGCCTTGAGGCCAAGAGCTATTCTGCCTTCTTCTTGGCTTGTTACAGATGCTTGTATTTAGATAAAAGCTCGCTGATTTCATGACGTGGTCTGGCCAAGGCAGAGTATAACAGAGTCCAGCAGGACTATCACCAGCCATGTTCTGGACACCAAAAGATGGCAGCTGCTTTTCTAGATGCCATATCGTAACTGCTCTCTCTCATTTTTACCATACAGTTCACTAAATTCCCTCGACGTTTTTTTCAGATGAACGATCCAGACAAATATCCCAGTCCTGATCTTGTGAAAAACTTCTTTTAAATTCAAGAGTAGGACTTGACAGTTATACCTATTACATTTCATCTTACTCAATATGACTCAATGAGCTAGCCTGTTAAGATCTTTCTGGCTCCAGACTATCATTCCACTGTATTTCAATTAGGTTTTACACAATTCACATTTATTAAGCACCTACTATAGATGCAAGGCTTTGGGCTAAACAAAGACAAAAGTGAAAACCCCTGCCTTGAGGGAGCTTAAGCTCTACTGGAGGGAACCCATGTAGACAGAGAAGAAAATACAAAGTAATTTCAAAAGGAAAAGATTCCTAAATAGCAGAGGTTTAAAAAAGCCTCAGGCAGGGGGTGGTACCAAGTTGTGATTTGAAGGAAACTAGAGATTTTACAAGGAATAAGAGAAGAGGGACGCGTTCCATACAGAAGGAACTACCTGTACAAAGACATGAAGGTAGAAAATAGAATATTATGTATGGGGAAGAAGTAGCAGGCCTGTGTGACTGTAACAGGAAATGTATGGAAGGAGAGCAATACATAAGACTTGAAAAGGAGGTTGAAACCAGATAGTGAAGGGCTTTATATGTCAAGCTGAGAATTTTATATTTTAAACCACTTATTTATAAAATTTTATATTTTAGAACCACTGAAAATTTCAATAGTGGAATGACATGATCAGATCTTTGTTAGGTGTTAACTATATCTCCTTGTTTTGGTCATCATCTGTAAATCTGATAAATTAACGAGTGATACCTTTATCCAAATCATTCATATCAGGGCCAAATTCAAAGCCCAGGGACGTGTCAAATTGCCATCCACTCATTAATACCTATCTCAGGGCTCCTGTCAATCAACCTGTTTCAAAGTCACTTAAATATACTATCATCTAGCATTCTAGCCCCTATCTCTCTTTGTCCACAAGGACAGCACTAAAGACTTTTTCAAATGTTTTGCTGAAATCTAGGTGAATAACATCTACTGTAATCTCCTGGTCTAATTAACTCTTCAAAAAAAAAAGGAAAATGAGGATAGTCTGGAATAACCTGTTCTACATACACCAAATCCATATTCTTAATAATTTTAAGAAATCCCATCATATCCCTCTATCACTTGGTCTTTCCTACGTGAAAAGCTCTCATCTTTTCAGTCTCTCTCCACACCACAGCCTCTCATCCATCCTCCTGATTTCTCTCATTCATCTAGCCTTTTGACAATTCTCTAATTTTTTTTTAGATGGGGTGACCGGAACTGCAATTGGAATTCCTATTATGTACACACTGAGTGTTTATAAAAGAGAAAGAAATGCATATTTTAAAATGTTGCTTCCAATGCCCTTTCTGACAAAGCCCAGAAGAATATGTTAGGATGATGTCTTTAAAAGTCTAGAGTGACTGACAAAACAACTGAACCCAAGACAATTATAGGCCTACTACTTTACATTAGCTTTTGTGCTACTCTGTACCAATTCCAAAAATTTGTTCAGACTTGCAGCATTAAAACAAGGAAGAATATTGTCTATCTGTAACCTGCTCAGTACTAAGTCTACCTCTATGAAGAGCTCGTGGGATATCACACTATGCCAAAGACAGTCTAATAAAAGTTTTATGCATTGGGGAAAAGAAAAGAAAGTTTCCAAATGCAAAGATGACAACAGAGATAGCTTTACTCAGAAAAAGGTTTTTTCCTTAAAATGTATCCAGAAAATGACTCAAATTCAGTTACTATTCATGAATACTCTATGTATTTATTTAAAATCTACATATTTTTTCAAAGTCATCTGTTTAGAAAATAGAGAATCAAAATTTCCAAATTTAACACTGAGCCGAAGTAAAGAGTCTTTGGACCACACTTAGAATTTAGAGAGTATTCAAACTTTTCTTAAATTAAAGCTGGTATAAAAATGTATCAATTATGCTTCATTTTTCCCCCAGAGCAAAAGTCAAAAACTTTAAAATACCTTGATCCTTCTCTAAGCCCAATAAGCTAGGGGTGCTACACTTAGCAGGCATGTAAAGGTCCTTCAGCATTTTACCTACCTTCCCACCAACATCCTGAAGAACTATATTTTCAGGTTTTAGATCTCTGTGAATAATTCTATTTTCATGCAAATATTGAATTCCCGACCCTAAATGAATATAAAAAATATATTTTGAGGGACTAACAACAACTCACTTTTATATAGCTATTTAAGGCTTTCCACACAACATCCCTGTGAGGTAGGCAGTGCAAGCATTATTATTCCCATTTTATAGATGAGGAAACTGACAAAGATCAATTATTATGTGTCAGAGCCTGGACCTGAACCCAAGTTCTCCTGACTTAAAACTCTAAGGCACACAATCTCAGGAAGAAACTCTCCTGGTTCACACATATCCATGAAGTTTCATGGTCACAGCTGCTCACGTGAAGAGCCAGACACAAAAATTCAAAATTGTGTTCATCAAGTCAGATGTATAACCCTGCTATATAACCTGGAAAAGGTGCCTTCTAATTACTAAGTTAAAGTTACAAAAAAGATTTATTCTGAGTAGTTATTAGCCAAATAGGTTAGAACATTTCCTCTATTAAGCTGGAGATGTCTTCTAGCAAGAACACAATACTTTATCAAAAGTCCAGCATTCAATTTTGTTTTGACAGTCACAGAGATTTTTGAATTCCAATTCACGGTTCAGGGAAGCAGACTAACACTTCCTCAGTGCATCTGAAGTGTTAACATTTTACACAGATCTCTTCCCCTCATCAAAACCCCAACATCAGTAACAATCAAATGATGGTAATTTGGTCAACTACATACCAATATCACTAAGCAGAGAAAGGACTTGACTCTCTTTAAGTCCACAGCAATTTTCTGGCTTGTTGAGTAACTAAAGGAAGAAAACAGGAGTTTAAAAATATGTACTCTCTAAATAAATGTGTTATATCAATAACCACAGCCATACTCACTGGTAACCTTGCCCTGAAGTAATGCTTACTCACACGAGAAAGCAAATTATGACCAAAAAAAAAAAGAAGACATCAGGGAAAAAACCTATACTGAGACTATATAAATTCCATCCTAGTAGATAGAAGAGAAAGAAGAAAGAGAACAGAATATTTCAATTTCAAAAAAGTTTTAAAACCTCAAAGATCCCAGTCCTACAGCCACATGGGCAGTTATCAATGGCAGATTTGAAATGGAGGAAGGAGGCAGGTTGGAAACATGTCAGAAAGAGAAAGTAGAGGTGTTACCCATCAATTCCATTACTATATGGCTAACGCTTCTGACGAGTGTGTTCCGGGTAGGCACCATAAATAAACCCTGGGGTTTTGATCACACTTTTTCCACCACAAAAACACTGTCATAAATCTATTAAACTATCAGCCCATCACTGCATGGTTATAAAGAATGTGAATCCTCCTACCAAATCTGAACCAACTAAGCAAGTCAGTGACCAGAGTGATGCCACTCCCAATGCAGAGCAGCCCCAGCTACCTTCCGAAGATCTCCCCCTGAGCAGTATTCCATGGCCAGAAGAGGGACATCATTAATCAAGAAATTCATCTCCTCAGGAACATCACAGGCCTTTACAACACTGGGATGATTCAACCTAAACAGAAAAGAGCAAAATGCTAATAAAAAATTTCCCTTCATGTGGCACCACCTCGTGGTGTTTCACCACAGGGGCCTACAAGTTTCCTGTAAACATGCCCAGGAGGGAGGAGGACAACACAGTGTAGTGGAAAGAGCACAAGATTTGGACTCAGAAGAACTGGCCTCCCATCCTGCTCTCCCACTTCCTGCTCTCCCACTCACTAGCCATGTGACCTTGAGCTAATTACTTTCCCTCAAAGGACCTCAGGTGGACGTCTGTGATGGGGGAGTTAGACAAGGTTAGCCCAATGGTCCCTTCCAGCTGACAGGCTGTGAGTCTGTACTCAAATATGATGCAAACCTGAAGCATGACTTTCAGAGAAAACAGACTTAAAACTGCTGTCAATAATGGGAATGAGTTACAGAATGCCCTTTGAAATTACCCTTGTGACCAGCAGCATGCCCTTACCAGATGGCTGGCCAAAGTTAGTGTCCAGATGTGAAATGGAATTTTTCTCTGTTCAAAATTACTTGGCTAGTATGGGCACTGGACCTATAACCCTGGCCTCATCGGCACTGTGCACTCGCCAGCCACTTCTTCACTCAAAGTATGCTGTCTGTCCCAATCTATAAGGGAAGGGATATTTAACATATATGACTCCTTCTTAAAAAGCCACAGTAAACAGAACTAAGAGGGAGCTTAAAGTTACTGAGTCCAACTCTTCTGACCAATTACAATGATGTTAATAATAATATAATATATATGATAATAATAACATAAACTATACTGAAATATACCAATAATAATTGGTGGCATTGTCCACTCTATCCACCTATTATAAAGTTTCATTAACTGGAATGAATAGAAAAAAAAGGAAGATTGAGAGAATAGTTCTGGGTGACAATTTTCTATTAGTTAATGAGAAGATTCTTCTAATGTTGCCAACCTTGCTAAAATATATTATTTTTCTGCAATTATAAGAACATAGTGAAAATAAAGGAATCTTCATGCTTAAGAATAGTGGAGGACCAAGCCATTATTTCCAATGCCAAATTGACATTATTTCCCCTCAAGCGGCAAGCCATATGACATAGTAAAAAACACAGTGAACTAAGAATCAAGGACCTGGGTTCAAATCATTCCAGGATTTATTAATTGTATGACCTTGGGAAAAGTCACTCGATCTCTCTAAGCCTTCTTCCCGGGACTGTTATAAAACCCTAGGAAAGAGGGGATATAAAAGCATTCTAAAAACCATCAAATAATAAATAGTAACAAGACAAACTCTTATCAGGGACTATCCCAAAAGAAAGTATTCACAACATGAGGGCAAAGTGCATAAATTAGAACAGGCCTGCACACCATACAGCCCACCAAAGGATTTTGGGCAGCCTGCAAAAAATATAGAGGACATAAAACAGGCCTGCACAAGAAGGTATGACTGTGCCCTTAGAGTACAGACAATTTACACACACAAACACACACTATACTTAGATACAATGTCTATTCCCATACCAGGTCTATTCTCTTTTTTAATGGAAAATACATATTTTATAATGCAAAAAAAGACAAAAACAAAAACTCAAGGCTAAGAGAGTTCTCAGAACTTCACTGTCAAGCTTTGGCCTGAGCACATACTAAAGGTAGGTAGAAATATAAACCCTAAAATATACTTACTTCTTCATGATCTGGATTTCATGGCACCATCGGTCTTTATTTTTTGCACTTAGCTCCAGGCGGCAAGATTTAATAGCTATTTTGTTACCAAGTTCCTGAAAAAAAAAAAAGGAAAAGAAGAATTGAAAGGAAGAAGCCACATTCTTGCACAGAACAGTTCCAGAGTTTTAGACAACCAACTCTTGCCACTCTACCACTTAACCCAAACCTCAGGCTGATTCTCCCTGGTTGGACACAAACATCTGTGGGAAGTATATCAAAGCTATCTCATCTTCAAAATTGGCCTCCAAATATGTATCAGAGTGTAGGCACCCATTCACTTAAATCATTGCATTGATCTTCTACCTAGCTCCAATCACAATGTTCTTTCACAAACAACACTAGAAAACAGATGGATCTTTTTTTCCTCATCTCTTTTCATTTATTAATACATAAGGTTCAGGACTGTCAGAGAGCTTGAGACCCACCCACAAATGGAACATAGGGTGCGTACCAGCACAACTTGGTCTCAATAAAAATAAACATTCCAATCCTGCATTTTTAATGCCACACCTGTCTATGATAATTCTACAAGGTCAAGTAGCAACTATCCTCTATCACAGAATCAAGATAGCAGGCAGTAAACGTGCTCCATGTGGCAGACATGATGAGGTCTTTGAGAATATCACATGAAACAAAAAAAAAAAAAGGTAGAAGACAGGTATATGATTTGATCAGCAAATCTAAATGCAATATAAAGCAATTCTGGGGCTCTGATATTAGATTGAAAATCTCTTTATTGTACAATTTAAATTCCACGTAGGCAAAAACTGCTTCACTTTTTTTGTCTTCATATTCTCCAGAACTTAGCACAGTGTCTTTTGCATAAAACAAGTAGTTAACATATGCTGAGGCGAACTGAAATACAAAGCAACATCATTTGTAATGACAAGAAGCTGAAAACAAAACACTTCCAACAACTTGAGAATGGCTGAAAACACAATACCATATGAATGTAATGGACTATTATTTCATTGCAAGCAACAATGAAAAAAATTTCAGAGAAACACAAGAAGACTGTGAAGTGATACAAACTGAAGAAAAAAGACAAAAGAACAATATATACAATGATTACAACAATGTAAAAGATGACCTCAAGTCAAAAACGATAGATAATGTAAATATTAAATAAAGTTAAAGAACACATTCTTTCTGTTAAGGGCTGTTAAACTATAAAACTGGAAAGTGATATGTACTATCAGTCAATCATTCTCTTAAATAGTTTTGCTTTAACTTTTCAGGGAATGAATTTTGTAGAGGATTTGAGAGTTGGGAGTAGGGTAGCACCTTATATCAAAACAAAATGAATCAATAAAAAATTTGTGTTAAGTGAATTTAATTACTGATATTTGTTAAACAACATCATCACGTATACCATAATGAATAAAAACAAATTATTTCTTAAATAAAATACCTGATTTTATTTTTAGTGATTGAAATTTTTTTAAAATACTATATTAGGATACATTGTTTCACAGGTTGAAACAGGGTTTCAATATGACCCCCCAAAAATTTTGCAGAATGCAAAAATAACCTTGATTTACACTATATTAAGTTCAGAGTTATAATCACAAAAAAAAAGAGCTACCACTTCTCATCATTTATTACTTGAAATAATATAATTATTTAACTTCTTAAAAAAGTTTTATAGATGGGTCAAAACAAAAAAAAAAACAAAACTTATCCTGATCGCTTAGCACAATGCCTGGTACGTAATAAACACTTGATAAATGCTTGATGACTTGACTAGACAATATAAGTAATGAAATTGTATATATAGTTTAATCTTCATCTCTCCTCTGTCTGGAGACGGTACACTGAAGCAATACTTAAGGTCAATGCTTAGGGCACTATCGGCACACAGGTTAATTGAAACTATAAGAGTCCACAAAAGTCACCAAAACTATGTAAGAAGAAAATGAGGCCACAAACCAAACCAAAGGAAATACGAAGCAGGTTCCGGCAAGACCGAGAATTAGATTTGGAACAAGAGGGGTTGTATTCCAATACCACCAGCCCTGTTACTTACTATAACCTAAGTCTCAGTTTCCTTACCTGTAAAAGGGGAGTGGGAGTAGGGAGGGGCTTCCTTCCAGCTCTAAATTAAGGATCCTATAAAAGAGGACTCAGAAAAGGGAACAGGCAGAAAAGTAGAAGGAAAACCAGGAAATCTAGTGTCACAGAAGCCAAAGCACAAAATCAAAATTGCTTAATCCTGTCCTCTTCCACTTACCTCTCCAGGCCCTTTCTCCATCAACTACAGTATCTGGCCCCATCCTCACTGATTCCTTTCAGTCTATAAACACGCTCAGGACTCCTTTACTCTAGAAATACCTCTCATGCTCCCAAAAACTTCCATCTACTTGAATCATCTCCCTGTACCCTTTCACTTCCAAACTTCTTGAAAGAGAAGTCTACAGTACTCAGAGTTTCCATTCCAACAAAAAATAGTACTTCTTCAACCCTTTCCAATCTTATCATCCCCAATGTAGAAATTGTCCAATCTTTCTCCTTCCCCATTCATCACTCAACTAAGTCATCTACTTCAAAATTTGTGAGAGCTTGGGAGCAGGTAGTGAGTTATGGAAAGGAAAGAAAGGTTGGACAATAGCTTCAGGGAATAATAGGAGAGAATAAAGGACAGAAGGATGTTAAGAGAGTATATTTTGAAAGTTCAGGATCTTGGTGATGGTACCGTTCTGTGACATAGTGAGGTCTAAGGTGGGACCATCATGGTTTGTAGTTAAAGTTGGGATTGAAAGGTCATAAATATCAAAGGCAGAGGATGATATGATCTCATATTTATATAGTGCTTTATGGTTTGTAAAAGTGCTTTACGTGTTAACTCATTTGATCCTCACAATAACCCTGTTATGTGTTATTATTATAATCATTTTACTGATAAGAAGTTAAGTGACTTGCTTAGAGTCACACAGTCTAAGGCAACACTCAAAGTCAGGTCTTCTTAACTCCAAGCACTACACTCCTTCCACTACGCCACCTCGATGTCTCTGCAGTGTAGTGTCTTACCAGGTTCTGACTTTGTTCTGTCAAGCCCCTGGACTATAAATCATTGCCTCTTTCTTTCCTCTCCTCTGATACTTAGCACAGGACCTTACACGCTGTAAGAGCCAACAAAGCCCATAACACAGCCTGTCCAATCTTCTCCTCCTTTTCATATTTCCCTCTCAAATCAACTAGTATTATTATCAAATGGCGACCAAAGGCCAGGCACTGGGCTAAGCACTGGGTATAAAAAGAAGGGGAAAGCCAGTCCTTGCTGTCTAATGATGGTGGGAAGTACGTGCTACCAGTGTAACAACAATTGCTCTCTAAGGAGTCGAAAAACCTGCAAACCACCATGTACAACAGGAACACAAATGCTTGCACTCTAACACAAACACACACACACACTCTGTCTCTTTCTCTCTCTCTCTCTCTCTCTCTCTCTAACCAAAGTCCCACCCAGCCAGGCATTACCCCAGATCTCCAAAACAGGATCAGTCACAACCTCTTCACTGTCAATCAGGACAGAAGTGCAGCACCGCATGGGGCCATGTCACTCGTACAGAATCACAACCAGTATCACACCAAGTGTGTCACGCGTGATCCCCCAGGCATCAGTCACCCCCGGTGTCCCAGGGCGAGCCGTGCACTCCCGAAGACAGAGCCACACCCACGGGGCACACTTGGCACGGCACCCAGAGTGTCCCACCAACAAGATCACGACCCGTGGACCACACGCGCGCGCACACACACACACACAAGCGCGCGCACCCAGAAAGCTGCCCCCCCCACATACACGCCCCCCCCCCCGCCCGCCCCCCCCCCACCTCCCCCCCCCCCCCCCCTCCAGCCCCACCGCCGCCTCACCCGGTGCTGATAGAGACAGACGTTCCCGAAGCCGCCCGTGCCCAGCCGCTCCCGCATCTCCCAGGGCCCGCCCGCGCCGGGCCGCAGTCCCGGGGGCCGGTCCATGGGCGGGAGCGGGGTCGGCCGCAGACTCGGCCGCCGCTTCCAGGCCGGCTCACGGCCCCCGCCGCCGCTCCCACCAACACGATCTTCTCGCGAGAGCTCGACGTCACATCCGGGCGTGGAAAGAGCAGGAAATAACCCATTTCCCTTGGCCTGGGACTCATCGTTCTACGCGCCCCGCCCCCGTCTCACATGTTCGAGGCCCCTCCCACCTGCGACTTCACCTCGGGCTCCACCAACCCGGAGCCCTTGCGCCCCCTGCCGTTTGACCTTAGCTCCTGCAAGCGCCCCCAGGAGGCGAGTTTTGGAGGCAGGGAGCCGGGACCATGACTGGACAGTATAGAGGGGTAGCGGGAGGTGCTGGGATGCAGAGCAGGTCACCCAGCCTCTTAAGGCCCCTACCCAAGCAGAAGTTCTGTAAAACTGTAATGGAGTGTCCAACCTGATGAAGCTGCAGCTCTGGATCCCCAAATCAAACAGTCAGCAAGCACTTATAATACTTAGGGGCTAGATACTTACTGTCCAGGAGGTAGATGGGCAAAAATGAAGGTACCAGCTCTAAAAGAACATGCCTTCTGCTAGAGCAAAGGTGCCTGATCTTTCCAGGGTCATGGACCCCTTTGGCAGTCTGGTGAAAACTGTGGACCCCTTTCTCAGATTGTTTTTAAATAATCAAGGGAATGCTGAATTTCAATTAGAGGTTAGTGAAGTTGAAGTTGTTTTGTTTTTCTTTTTACCCAATCCAGGTTTATAGTTAGGCCCCCTAAAATACATCCAGAGTCAGAGTTTATGCCCACAGACCTAGACCTCAGATTAAAAATCCCTTGTACTAGGGGATACAGTTTCACAGACAAGCAAAAAAAAAAAAAAAAAGGATGTAATTTTTTTTTATGTTAGCAATGGAGGAAGAGAGACACCAAGAACAGGAAGAATCAGGAAAAGCCTCAACTTAGGGTGAAAGAAAGGGGAAGAGAGAGGCATTGGAGGCATGGGGAGCAGCTGTTGCAAAGACAGAGATGGGGGGTGGATAGTGCACACAAGGAACAGTAAATGAGCCAGTTTGACTGGAGTGGGATGTGTGTGAGAGGGAGGAATGTGGAATCCAGAAAACTAAAGAGTTTGTAATTTGTCCTAAAGGAAGTGGGGACCCACTGAAGTTTCTTGAACAGAGATCTGACACAGACCACACCTGACTAAAAGAAATTTGGCAGGTGTGTAAAGGGTGAATTCAGGATGGGAATGAATTGATGTAAATAGGCTAATTAGGGTGATGTGATCTTGAACTAGGATCCAGGGGTATGAGTTGAGAGAAGGGGATGGATGTGAGATGTTAAAGAATCCTGGTGGAACTGGCAAGACCGTGCAACTAATTGGTTATGGAGAGTGAGTCAGAGAGTCAAGTCAAGCATGACTCTTAGGTTATAAATCCAGCTGACTGGAAGAAGGGAGGAGAAGGAAATTGAGGACATAACCATTCTCCCAGTCACTAAAGTTCATAATCTCCAACTCATCCATACTTTTCCTTTATCGTCCCAAACATCTAATCAGTTGCCATATCTTATCAATTCCACCTCCATACTTCTCACGTTAGCCTCCTGCTCTCCATTCATGTTGGCTCTAGTATAGCAAATGGAGTGCCGGACTTAGAATCAGGAAGACCTGGGTTCAAATCTCATTTCATACACTAAGCAGCTTTAATGAGACAGTCACTAAACTCTGGATTTCAGTTTCCTCCTATGCAAAATGAGGAAGTGTAAACTGGTCTCCATGCTGCTAAATTTCCCTTCTAGCTTAATCTCTGATCTACAATAAGTATATATTGCTCTCCTGCATTCATTGTGAAAATCTTTCTAAGGTACACAAATCTGACCACTGCCTCTGCTCAAAAACCTTCAGTGCTCCCTTTTCCTACTAGGATAAAATACCAATTCCTCAGCAAAGCATTTAAAACCCTCTATAATCTGGCTCTAATCTGTTTTTCTAGCCTTATTTCATATGGCTGTCATATGCATATTACATTTTAGTAAAATTAGACTCCTTTCCTAAACTCAATATTTTATCTCTCATCTCCATAAACTAGCTCAGGCTTAGAACACGCTCTATCCTCCATCACTCAAAATCCTAATTTGCCTTCAAAGTTCAGCTCAGGTGCCCTATTTTCAGTGATGGCTTCCTTGATCTTATCAGTAATTAATGTTTTCCCCCACCTCAAATTCTCTTTATTTACTTATCTATATACATATTGTGATCCTCAGTAAAATGTAAGCTTAAGAGTTAAAATTGTTGTTTTTTTCTTTGGAACTCCAGTGCCTAGTGCCTGACACTTTATCTTGGTCAGGACTAGTAATTTCTCTCACCCTAGCAATTGATTTGTAAAGACTAGTCTTAGATTTGCCTGAGGGCATTGAAAAACTGACTGGCCCAGAGTCACACACATTGCTAGAACTTTGACAGGGGCTAGATTTAACTCAGATCTTTCTAAAGCAGGCCCTTTTTTTTTTTTTTTACTATGCTACTCTCCTATACCACCAGTAGGTGGTTAATAAATATTTATTGAATTGTTGAATCTCAGTTTTGCTACACATTCGTGACATCGGGAGCATATGCAACCTTTCTGGGCTTCAATGTTTTCATCTATGAAATGAAGGTATTGGACCAAATGCTTTCTAAGGCCTCCTTTCAGCTCTAAATCCTACGATTTCACCTCTGCCCTTTGGGCCTGGCCCTTGCCTACATCCTATGATCTACTCCCTTCTTAAGCTGGTCTTCGTGAAGATCAAATGAGATCATAATTGTAAAGCACTTAGCATAGAGCCTAGTAGGTAGTAATCATTATAAAAACGTTAGTTGTTATCATTATCTCTTTGCTTTCAAGATCTGGATCCAATCTAGCCCAGTCTTACCGTGCCCATCTCACCCATCTTTCAATGGATAGGGGCATGTCAAAGCACTGAGAGAGGGAGGGTATAGAGAGAAATGAGCAGAGGAATGGGCTGGCATCCACTCACCAGAAACACGGAAAATGAAACAGCTAAGAAGGCCGAGAAGGTAAGGCAGCTTGCTTCAAGTCTCCTACCAGTTACCCTCACGGCTTTAGCTTTCTCCCTCCAATTTACCGTCTATAGTTTGTTTGTATTTAGCTGTTTGCATGCTTTCTCCCCCATTACATTGAGCTCCTTGAGAGCGGAGGCTATTTTTGCCTTTCTTTGCACACACTGCGCTCAGCAGAGTACCTGGCAAAGAGCAGACGCTTAATAAATGTTGTTGACCTGGGCAGAAACAGGAAAATACTCTGTGCTTGAGGCCAAAGGAAGAAAGTGTCCAAGAGGTGATGGTATGGTCAACAGTGTCATTAGTAGCGGAGCTCAAGGTTTAAAACTGAGGAGAGGCAATCAACCAGTCAATCAACTAGAACTGAGAAGAAGGAGGGACGGGGCAGTGATGGAGTAGAAGAGACGGAAAGAGAGACACAGCGAGGAAGGAGAACAAGAAGTAAGAGTACCGCTTGGAGACCCCTAGATCGGGATAATGGAAGGGAACTGGAAAAGGCATCGGGAAGACAGCCTTATGGGGCGGGGCCAAGAGCGGAAACTGGGGGCCTGGGAGAGAGAGAGGCTGTGAGGGGCGGGGCTAGGAAGAGCTAGGCGGTGCCAGAACGGGAAGGGCGGCTCCTAGAGACTACGGAAGAGAGCCAGGGCGGGGTGGTGGGAAGCGGGAGGTGCCGCTCCCCTCCGGCGCATGCGCGCAACCCCGGAAGGCCTATGGCCCGCTAGCGGGGCCTGAGAAGGCTCAGGCATGGCGGCCACGGCCGAGGGCGACCCTGAAGCCCAGCGGGAGGGTCTGGGACGAGGTAAAAGAAGGGTGGGCCTTGGGGAAGGGGCGACCCTCGCCCCGGGATGCTTGGGAAGGAGCGGGGTGAGGTGTTAGAGGAGGTCTGGGGCAAGACGGGGCGGGGCTGGTCTGAGCCG